AAGTTGTACATATGATAAAACATCCCTTAAGCTTTAGGTCAGGACTCAAGAGAGACGTTATTTGCAAACGCCGTCATAATTTTTGTGTGCTAGTCTTAAAATCCTTCTTCTTTACAACAACGGGGCATATAAGCTATACCATTGCCTCAAAATAAGATTAAAAAGCACTCCACTGATATCTTAGAGGATTCTCCGGGCAACAGAGAGAGAGGGGAAAGAAAAGCCTCTCTAATCTGTTTCTTTGGAGTCAGTCTAGATGGGTGAGAAATTTTATTTGTAAGGGCCGTGATTTTTTAAAAAAGTATTATCTAGCAATGTCCGGGGTTGACACATGGTTTCGAGAAAATACAGTCTGCAGCGAAACTGTGCATCTGGTGCAAATGACTCCAGCCCATGGACCCACAGTGCTCCTGACCCAAAGGGACGATCTCTAACAGACACGAAATGAGCTGCAGGAGATGAAATCGCTTCTTGAGAAGAAAAAAAAAAAAAACAAAAAAAAAGAGAAAATTTCTAAATAGTTGGCAGCCACTTTCCTAAAAGCATTTTTCGTTCTCGGTCTTGTTATTCTGTAACTGCTCTTGCACGTAGCCGTTTACAAAGGGCAACCAGTCCACAGAACATTAAATGTCGGATGCAGGACTGCCCCCTTCCGAGGGCGAAGCGGAACGCGGCCGGGAACCCATGACTGGCCCCACAGCCGAGCCCTTTTTGCCGGGCATTCGCTGTTCCTCACACGGCTGCCAGCTCGCAGCCAGCCTCGCAGCCGCCCCGGCGCCGCGGCTTGGGCCGGCGGGGATGTGCGGAGCCGGCGCAGCGAGGCCCGCTGCGGCGCGTTTCTCATCTCCTCTCCCCTCTGGGCCCGGGCAGGAGAGCCAGGGGGCAGAGTGGCAGCACTCCGGGGCAGACGACTTCTAAGTCATAGCAAAACTCTACTCCTGTCATTCAGTGTCTGGTGAGAACTGCGAATTTAACTTTCCCAGTCACCTGAACCGGTATCCCTCTGAAAGAGTCCTACCCTAAGGTGTCCAATACAGCAAACCACTACGGAAAGCGAATCCTACTTCTAAAAACAAACAGTGCTCTGACTCTGATGAAGCTAAAAACTTCAACAAGCTGAGTGTAAAAATACGCATTTTCACAAGCAATCCAGCAGTACCTGGCTCAGATTTGTGTACACATTTTGTTTCAGGGGAGCTGAGAACCAGGCCAGAATTGAAAATCAGATTCTGCTGCTGGATCTGCAACAGCTTTTCTATTCTGTAGTTTGTTTGGTGGCTTAATTTCTGTTTCTCAGCTCCTCAGTTGTAAAGTGGAAACACAACAATAAATAACTCAAAACGTTATGAGGTAAAAGCCATTCATACTTGAGAGCTGTCTGGAATTAATGTGAAAAATGGAAGAAACTATTCAAAAGTACTTAAAACATTCAAGGCTTTCTCTATATTACCTCTTATATCATAGAATTAATATGTATTTTGAGGGAAACTGTGTTGACTTACAGCCCACAGGATATAGAAATGAGATGGCAAAGAAGATTTCCCTAGGAAAGTATTTTACACAGCTGTTGCTCAAAGAGCTGTTTATTTCATTTTATACATATATGTGTGTGTGAAAAACTATGAAGAGTTCACTTGAAGAATTCTTGGCAATAAAAAGCAAACTCTTCCAACTCTATCCAAAGCAAAATTAAACAGCCCCCCTCTCCTGCTGCAAAGAAATGAGCAATAATGTCTTGCCTGATTTTTTGCTTCCTCTTAGTTCTCCAGGCAATAGTGTAAAACTCTGCCCTGTGATGTGGCCAAACCACATAACGCTGTGTCACTCATGTAAAATAGAGTGAGCTAATCATTGTATAAACTAGGATTGTCTGAAGATGCTTGGGGGCCTCTTTCCATTTTGTATTGAAAATAAAAGCCAAAATAAAGTAGATAGCAGACAAAAAAGCAGATCAACAAAACAAAGGCATTAAGCAGGACAGAGGGGCCTGAGGAAGTTCCCGTTGCTGCTGTAAACCTGAGCGACCCAAGGAAAACAAGAGAAACAAACAGCTTGCTACTGTCTGAAGTAAAACCTGAGGACTGAATTCTGGTACTCTGATTTATGTCAGCTCATAAGTTATGGCCCACATAGTTTGACTGAAGGCAGTATGATTGCTTGTGAAAACAAGTAGTAAATACAATCCAAATCTGGTCTGAAATTGTTTCTAAGGCAACTTTCAACTCATGGTATTTTCAGAAGTGTCAGCTTACTTTGAAAGCACAGCTATACTTCTTACCAAGACTAGAAGCAAATGTAGCTATAATTAAATATTCACCTGATTTTCTGTCAAAGTGCTGTCTTACCAGCATCTGTTCATATTGACTTGTCTTATAATTCAAAAGAGAAAACACCTTGAAGAAGCTTTTTATTTTCTCCTGGTTTCAAGTTGCTCTGCCTCTGTTTTTAGCACTGTCAACATCAGTCTTTCTGTATTGTTCCCTCTTTCTCCTTCTCTCCCTCTCTCTCTTCTTCTTTTTTTTTTTTTTTTTTAAATAGGGATCAACTAGTAAATAATCCAATAACTTTGATTGGAAAGCAGATCAAAAATTCAAAAGAGCAACTAATGAAACTTGGTCTAGTTTACAGACATTCTGAAACATTAATATTAACGTCATCTTTAATTAATATTCCCTGCTATGATGACACCATTCATTTTCTCCTGTGTGATTGAGCTAGCTTTATAAAATGGGATCCTATAAATAAGTAACCCAATTGTTTTTTAATCCAAAAATTAAAATATAGATGTCTTTCTTCTTTTTGCCAATACTGTCATTGCTTTCGCTGATGTGAAGTAATGACACCATGGTCCCTGAACAGCTGCAGCTCTTGTGTACAATTCACACCTATAAAAGTGTAATTGGGAATAAATTCATCTTTGATAGACACTTCAAAAATCCTGCATTGGGAAAAGCAGGGAAACTCTTTTAAAGTTTTGAGCCACTAGTTGGGTGCTTATAGAAACGTCCTAAGTGCTAAGAGCTACTGCTGATTGGGATTGAGATTGAGGGACTGAATCAAGCCTTGATGCAACTGCTTTCTAGACATGTTTTACAGATGAAGGTCTTTGAGCAGTTCATATAAACTCCCAGACAGAGTCCAAAAGCATTATTTTATCAGCAAAAAACCTCCAGATTTTATGCTTTCTTGATGAACTGTTATAACAGACTTTCCTGCTGTATATCTCTTTTAATAGGTCCTTGTGATTTGGGGGAAAAGCTCAGGAACATTCAAAATGCTGGTTTGACCTTTATTCTTCTCTCAAGCTAAGAGTGTTTCAGTGAGTGAGATTTACAGATTCTGAATGAGATTTCAAATGACTCTTTGAATGCCCAAAGCAAAACCATCACTGCAGGGAAAAGACTTGTTTGAAAATAAATGCCAAAGGATAGATTACTTTCTAAATCTTCTCTTAGTAGGTACAGGCACAGGGGACATAGCATGTTTTAAGAGTAGGAAAAGGTCATCTTTTGGATCTTTTTTGACTCATTTAATTACCACATCTATACTTCTCCTTGCACCATCTTAGCCCTTTCTTCCTTTCTTGCTTGTTTCCTTCCTTCCAAACTGTATGTGACTCAAGACTTCTGCCTTGATTAATTTCTCCTGTATGATGCATGGCCACTAACTTCTTGTCTCGTTTTGCCTATTGACCAGGTTGTAATGAGAATGAGGCAGATCACCTGGACAGAGACCAGCAGCCTTATCCCCCATCCCAGAAGACAAAGCGCATGCGCACCTCCTTCAAACACCACCAGCTTCGTACCATGAAGTCCTACTTTGCTATCAACCACAACCCAGATGCCAAGGACCTCAAGCAGCTTGCCCAGAAAACAGGCCTCACCAAGAGAGTTCTGCAGGTAAGAAGCCACATCACAGACTTGACAGAATTTTCCCCTACCCCTGCCAGTAAATAGCATTTCCCTTATGCGTAATGGTAGTGATATAGCTAGAAATACTTTTTGCTGGGTGTGTCCCTAGTGGGTGCACAGAGAGGCATGGTATCCTATGGCAGGAGTGCTGAATTCATGCCCTACCACTCCAAGGCAGCCAAATACTAAAATGTGATTTGTAACTAGTTGCATCCTCAAGATGAGGAAACTTGTCTCCAGAGTCTATCAGCCCAGTAGATATCCTGGGATCTGTAGTCTCTCTGTGATGACCTTATTAAGGGTAGAGGTAGCAAATCTACTCGTTTCATGCACACTGGGTGAAGCCTTTGAGCTCCCCTGAAGTAGGTAGCGTCACCCCTCAGTGAGCAGATTCCTTGATATATAGGAAGCAAGCTTGGAACAATATTGTCCTCCAGGACCAGCCAGCTCCCTCTTCCCAGTGCCTGTTAGACAACTGTTATCATTAAGGGCCTACTTAGTAAAAAGTCACTTCCCTCTGAAGGACAGCCTGGCAAATTACATTTTAAAAATCCCTATACGGTGTGTGCTAGCTCAGTGAAGTTAAAGTGAGGTGTGTATTATATGCAGAGTGCCAAAGAAGGGCAGCGATCGAGGTGGAAGGAGAATCTATTAGTGGCAATGCCATGTCCATGTTACATGTCACCTAAAACATTTTTAGTGAACCTTACAGAACAGAAAGACCAGCTGACCCGTAGCAACAATCCTTATGATAGGGTTGGTGTAATGATCCCTCCTTCCTCTTCAGTCTTTTAAAATGATTAAGACAAACTTTCAGCCTTGGCAAAAATCTGCTCATTCATCCTCTGCCTCAATGTTTATCATGTGTCTTGACACCAAATCTACCCAACTCAAGAGTTCACTACATGGCCATCAAGAAAGCTGCTTTCCTTGAGTGAGTGAGTGAGCAGATTTTTCTTAGGCTGCTCTATGAAGTCTACGCACTGGCTGCAATGTTCCAGTGAGCGCTTGCAGCACTGGGCTTTTTAAGGAGAGTCCTACCTGCAAAAGAGACAGTACCACCAGTAGCAAGTGAAGCTGTAGTGACTTAGTCGATTTGCCACACAAAAACAAACATCAAAAAATTACTTAAAAGAAAGAACAAAGACAAAAATAAGCAAAACAAAACAAGCATCGGTAAAGAAATCAATTGGGATTGGTTTGCAGGTTTGGTTTCAAAACGCAAGAGCCAAATTCAGAAGGAACCTTTTGCGGCAGGAGAATGGGGGTGTCGATAAAGCTGATGGCACCTCACTTCCGGCACCGCCTTCAGCAGACAGCGGCGCACTCACTCCACCCGGCACTGCGACCACTTTAACAGACCTGACCAATCCCACTATCACTGTAGTGACATCAGTGACCTCTAACTTGGACAGCCACGAATCCGGGAGCCCCTCACAAACTACCTTAACGAACCTTTTCTAACATTTCCGGTTTTTTCTTTTTTTTTTTTTCTTTTTTTTTTAATTCTTACTCTTCTTCTTTATTATTATTATTATAATTATTATTTTTATTATTTTCAAGCCTTTTTTTTAAAAAAAATAACAAACCCACAAAATATTTGGGAAAATAAACAGCTTGATGTGTAGCATCTGCAGCCACTTGGCAAATGAGTTTGAAGTAATATGTTGCTATAATAAGTGAACATTTATTGTTGTTAAATTGTACTCAAATTTTTTAAATTAATCAAATAACTGAATAGAAGGTTATGAATCATTCTAATAAGTGCCTCTTAAAATTGTATGTTACTTATTTCCAGAACCTTGAAAAAAATATTATTACCATGGGAAAAAAAGAAGATTATTTTCCCTCCTTGATAACCAGATAAAAATCAGTTTAACTATAGCCAAAAGAATGCTGCTTCAGGACTGTACGTTCACTTACAGCATTTAAGAACCCCAAATTTCATTTTATTTTTATAATCCATCTAAAATTTTGAACAATTTTTTTTTAAAATGTTGAAATATAAGTACAAAATTATTTAAACTAATAATTGAAATAGACTGCAAGTGCCAGTGCTTTTTTGTAATGTATTAGTCACAAGCCTGATCCTCCCTGAACACTTGGGAGTCTCATGGGGATAACTAAATGCTCCTCTGCCAGTCCTTCACCCAGCTGGGACGCCCTTGGCCACCACTGAAAGCTGTGCATGGATGGAGGGCTTGGAGAGAGAGAGCCAGTGCTGAGAGTGCACGTGGGTGAGGATGGCAGGATCAGGCTGCTGGTCTCCAAATCTGGGTCCTGTACATTAAGGAGGCAAGATCCGGGTAACACCTTCCCAAATGAGCTCACTCCTACAAGGATATTATTAAAGTAATAATAGCAGAATAACAACTCAAGTGAGGAGTCCTACGATCTGAAATATCGCATAGGGAGGGGTTTTCATTTTTGTCTGTCAAGCAGCTCTGATTTGGAATTTTTTTTTAAAAAGTGCAGTTTGCTACACAGCCTTGATGCCGTAACATTAAAGCAAACAGGAGGTTGCCCAGCTACTTTAGTGAGCACAAAAACAACTTCCAAGAAGATGTATGCGCATGTACTGCTAAAATGAGGTTTTGATAAATCATACTTTTTTTTCAGGGAAAATGGAAATAAGCAAAATATAATTTATTAAGATGTTTAAGGAAAATTAGATCAGTACAGTTTACTTGTTACTATTTTGAATTTACTTTAGATGTTTCCTGAGATTGTATCAGACACTTTGTTTAATACATGAATTTAAAATCTTTAGTTCATTAATATCTTTAACATATACTTTAACTTTTTAAACTTTGTATAAAAGAAAAAAATGTTAGCAAAAATTCTTTAAAAAATTGGCAGTGAATAATTTTAAAGCAGATAAACTCAAAAGCCTTGTGGATGCTGATCTGAATACATTTCTTAGTTTACAATAGTGATATTTCATTTTTTTTAAATTTATTTAAGCTAAAAGTCTGAATGGTCTGGGCAGTGGTGAATGTTCATTTGTATCCTTTTATTGTAGTTGAACACCAAGTAGATTGTGGAGAGTCTCAGAAACAAAACGAACAAAAACCAGTCAAGATCTATGTCTTGCGTTTAGTGGATTGTTAAAAATAACTTTGCACATATTCCCCACTTTTTAGACACCATCAAATATCTTTTTTGGTGGTCAAAGTGGCTATTTAATATATTTTAAAGGTGTCCTTTTTGGCTGTATAAATGTGTGGTTACATATTGACAGTTCACTGCCCACATTAAAGTGCATTATTGTAATTTTTGCTCAGGGTTTTTAGAAAATTAGCACAGAAAAGTAGCTTATTTTTAAAAAAAGATGATGGAAAAGATGTTAACACTGTAATAGAAGAAAGGTGTGTTTGCCATTATATATTTAGCAAGTATGGTTATCATCTTCTACGGATATTAAATCTTGACTTTTCCTATTTCTATTACCTTATGGGCATTTACCACTAACCAGACCAAACGACCTTGGTAAGGCTGAGATCTTTATTAATACACTTTTACAGGTAAAAATATTGATACTTATAAATTTTGTTCTTTGACAGAACAATATATGGTACTAGAGATCTACTTTATTAAGTAGACTAATTAAAACTCAGTTCTACTATGTGCCTTATGATATACCTTGGGAGTAAGTTTGTGAAAAATCAGGATATATGTGTTGTTTGTTAAATTAACTGTTTTAAGTCCTTTTGACACCTCACTAGTTTTGTACTGTTTTACCTCTTATTTCTGAAACTCTTTTTATGGTGTATCCTGTTAGAGGGGACAAACATGTCATAGAAAGCAGTTGTGCACTCTTTCAGATATAGTTGATAAATCCAATAATCTTATATATTGAGCTTCGTGTTTATAGTACAGTAAGTGGTCTAGCAAAATTGTCCATGTTTCTTTGTTTATTGATAAATGCATTGTATAGAAACTATTTCCCCTAAATATTTATGGACCAAACAATTGTGATATATCCTATTAAATTTGTGTGAATAAACCATTTTGAATCTAAGGAGTTTTATTTCCCATCAATTTTTTTTTTTTTAATTTAAAGTCTACATGTACCAGTGCGTCTCTTTGCTTTTACGGTACCTGTGAAAAATTGGTATTAAACATGGAAACACAGCCCTTTAAATATTTTAAAATATGGTTCCTTCTTAGGCTTTAAATTTCTTCATATTCAATGTATATGCTACTGCTGGTGCAATTTAGATTTTAGTTTTAACCCCCTTTTTTGACCATGCAAAGTAATGCCCCAGTGATTTGATACTAAAACCCTGTCTTAGAGTTCTAAAAAAGCCAGAAAACTAGCAGCTAAAGTAATTGCATGACAAATATAACCTAAAGGATATGATGAAATGAATCAAGATTTAATGCTAGGTATATTGAACACAAAATAGAATTGCAGACCCCGAAAAGCCAGGTTGCTCTGTAGTTTAATAAATTGTCACTATGATTTCTTTCAGGGAGAACAAATCATGGGGCATTACAGCCAAACATCCCGACGTTTGAAAATTCCCTAAAGTATTAAAAGAAGGGGAAAAGTTTGATCGGAAATCCACTGCAGTGAAGACAAAGACAATATTAGGTTATGATAATCATACATTTAAAAATCTATTGAGCCAAAAAAATAAAAATAAAAGACTTGATGTCATTTCCTGAATGTTAACAAAACATATGTTATTTTATGGTGTCTAAGTAACAGAACTGAAGGCTTCAACAAACTGTGTGGTATTAAAAACAAATTTAGAGAAACTATGTATAAAACCAGAGCAACCTGGCAGCAATTTACCCAGCCCATATTCGAAGAAAATTTTTCTTTAAAAAAATCCACATTTGTCAAGCACAAGTACTTGTAAATTAAAATCTGAGTGCATTCATTTCACTTGCTTGCTAATGTGTACTAGTCATATCTGTTAAATGGATTTTTGTAAATTCAAAGACAACTTTTCACTCATTTGAGATCATAGGAATCAAAACCCAGTAACTTTAGTACTATTGTTTCTGAATTATTTTTTTTTAAATGAGACAAATCTGCATGCACTTTTCCATCTGTCACATATAGTGTACATTTCTGTATGATGAATTTCTCTTTGATGTTTCTTGTATAATAGCTTTCATTAATAAACATTTTATTTGATGAAAACATAGTTAACTTTATGTAAACACATAGCTAATTGTTCAAACTAATTTAAACTTTTCTTTTGAAAAGAAGCAGTGCAGTGCAGTTCCAATATGTTATATATAACTAAAATCACATAGAATGAGGTAGCAATACTGTTGCACAGTGTAAACTTATTTCCTTTGGTGTTAACTTTTTAATTTTTTAACTTCTTGTATAAAACTGACATGTTTTTAAAAAATTCCCATCAGCATCAAAATCGAACAGTCCTTAAATTCTTCATCCATATATGAAAACATAAAGCAGTACAGTATGTAAAATCCTCAATGACTTTTAGTGTACAAGAATATAATTTGTGGATCCCTGAGCTGTTTACATGGTCACTATGCAATGAGCAAGTACATTACAAAACGTTGGTCCTAAGATTCCCAGTCTAAATCACTGATGATTTTTACAACCCAAGAAGCAAGTGTAACAATAACCAACTATTAGTAATGAGGTTTTGTAATTGTTAAACAACTATTTGAAGAAAGATTTTTTAAAATATATTCCTATTTAGCTGTATAGCCAAAGCATATGTTAAACAAATTAACATATAAAAGACTTGCCAGAAAATCTTTCATTAAAATGACATTTTTATTATATACTAATGAACCCTATGTAAACAATGTAACTTTTATGAATGATGGACATTAAATATTTCACTTATGTGTATCCTCAGCATTTTGCATGTTTTCTTAAACTTTTCCCTTTTCTGAATTCTAAAAAGAAAACCATACAATTATTAACAACATAACACAAAGTTACTTACAGATTACTGCAGTGGTTTCTGGAAACTGGTAACCAAGAGTGTTCTAATGGCAACAAAAAGGTATAATTTATTGGTGGCAGTTATGGGAAGCATTGTTTAAACAACAGTTTTATAGTATGTTGTAAAGTTCTATTGAAAAAGGTATGGTGAACTTAATTCAAATCAGCCTGATCAGAAATTTAAGTATATTGTGAAATTCTTAAACTGAGCCTTATTTGTATTTATTACTGCAGAAAGTAAGTAAATGTAGGAAAGCAATTATTTGTGCCACAGTCATAATGTGGTTTCCCCCCTGTCCGTGGGAAAATATGACAAACATTAATTATTCAAATCAGTAAAGAACTCTGTGGTGTTTAAGGCCAAGAAGAAAACCTCTGTACTATAATTATTCTTTCGTAAATCATTGCATTCTTTGATAAGCTGGATTCCTTCTCCCCCCATTTTAATACTTACAGACATATTTCTAGTCTAAATTATTGTCTGTGTGCTGCTTTTTTCACCTGATTTAAATTAGAAAAATAAATTAATTAAATACTCCTGGTGAAATATCAGCTCCACTGAAGTCAATGGCAAAATCATCACTGATTAAAGTAAAGCCAGGACAATTTTATTTCTCCATGTCTAATTAGAGACATTAAGGTTTGATTTTTTCTTAACACTATTCTTTGGAGATAGTCCTGCACATAGTGCTCTGATTGACCTGACTAATTGCATTACCCAATCAAGATTTTTTGAAAGACAAAGAACTGTCTCCTGCATTAAGAGAATAAACATGTTGAAAGGGCAGCATGATATGAGGACTAAAAGAAAGTAATCATTTCAGACAAGATTTGAGAGAATGCAAGACAAATTTAGGTTTTCAGGATTGTTACAAGCGAGAAATGTGTTAGAGGTCTTTATAGTGAATGCATATCCATGTCTAGACACAGCATTTCTTTGCACTCATGGTCTTAAAAAAGAAGTCACATTGTGCGGTCCTAGAGCACCTTACTCAGAATTTCTCTCCAGAGAAATGGCTTGCAGGGTCAGGTCAAATGACAGAAGGCTGACACTGCAGCCCATCGAAATTGGTGAATATTCTTTCTCCAATTCCATGGGCTTTGAGCCAGGAGCTGAATGAACATGGAAATTAAATTACTCTATTGTCTCTAAAGAAAGCATAACCTTTAGAATGAGACAGAATATATAGGACAGCCATGCCGCTCTGTACTTTGGACTTCATTCTTCAGAGCTGCTAATCCAAGCACCTGGCACATGCATTAAATTGACTTAAAAATATTTCTTCCTCCTTCACTCAAATACAGGACACAAATTATACTACTGGAATTTCCAGAAGCTACCATAGTGTCGGAGACTTTATTCAGTTATTCTGCAATGTTGAACAATTCTTCTGCGCTTCTCACTTGACACAGACTTATCTCGACACATACCTATATACATATCCTTGTCTTGCCTTCAGATAACCAGTACTTTCATATTTATTTAAGTCATTCAAACTTATAGGAAGCAACTCACCATTCTAGCAAAGGCAGTTGTCATAATTTTTGTTTTGATACTCCTCTACAGTAAAACATTTTTCTGGAGTAGTTTTTATGCTATGAATTTGAACTTTTGTATGTTTTTTTCTTTTCATAGCTTTGGCCCAAAAATGTAGTGCTTCAAACGTCTAAGTGTACAGATTATTTTGCCAGCTTTTCTTCTAATATCTAGAAAAACAAATCTACTGCAATCATTGAACTCGTGGCTTGCATGTTGCTGTAAGTGTATTCCCCTCTACAATCTGATTTTATCATAACTAATGATATAAAATATATTCAATTCTAATTTTAACTACTAAGATTAATATTAGAAATGACAGCTTTTCAGCTGTACTCACTTCTTGCTCAAGTGGGCTTCTGTTTTTGGAAATGGGATTGCAAGCAAGCATCCTTTTAAATTTCTGGTATTTGCTACTGCTAGGAGCAGAGGGCTAGACAGAAGGTCTGATCTAGCTTGACAAAAATCAGTTTTATTTTCCAGTTTGCCCTCTTTTCAAATAGGACTTTAATAGAGGACAAAAATACTGTCAATAATTATTTTAGAGCTAAAAAATAAAAGATATGCTTCTCATTTGCACTTCAGTTACACACTTCAATATAGATTTCTGAGTCTGGACAGATTCACAGTGTTTTGAATTTATGAGACACCTACATGTAGAAAATAAATTATAAGGGAATGAACAAGGTAGGAAAAGTTTATCAGACTGCACATATAAGCAGTCACTGGGAGGGATGTGGAAGTTTTGTATCTATCATCCTATGAATCCTTATTTCACCTTTTTCCTTGAGAAATTTGGACTTACCTGACAGTAAATGATCAAGTAGCTTACTGTTGCCACATGCATCTTGATCCTACAACTGAGATGTAATAGAGAACAATCTGTAACAATAATTTTTCAGGAATAATTATCTAGCAAAATAATGAAATGTTGCCCAATATCTTAAAATCAGTAAAATAAAATGCAATATCAGGAAAGCTAAGAGCACTGATTACTATTATATCTTAAGACATAAACACATACAGGCTCATAATTACTGTTTAATTCATAGAGGATAATTAACTTCATCAAAAAAATACATATCCCATATTTCAGTAGGGACAGTAAGATAAGTTCAGAAAGTAACTAACTTGCAGCTTAGAGGTGAATATTTTTCATCTGTAAGGATACTTGCATAATCACTGCTTGGGCTGCAGGCACAAGCGTTAGACAATACCTCTCATTTTATTTTCTGGCTGTCCAGCAGAATATTTTTTGACTTTATAAGAAAAAGTGGGCTACAGAAAAGGAAGTTAAATGGACACTGTAAAGTACACGAATGGGATTGTGCCTGCTAGCACATTTGACATAATGTGCTGCTGCATTGAGGCTCTGAATTAAAGAAACTACTGCTTTCTTTCTGCTTTTTTATTTGAAGATGTATTGCTTCTTGTATACAAGGTTACATAGACAATGTGTAACTACATTAGCTGAAGTAATTTCCTATCCCATTTTGTCGAAACTTTTCTTAACAATCAAACCCTTTAAAAGATAAGTTTTTTGTGAATTTGGCTGGAGCAAATTAAGAAATTAGAGCTGCTGCTGCTTATTATAAACTATTAGAAATAGTTTAACTGCCCAGGAGTGCTTTCTGCATTCAGCAATGTTAGAACTGTCCTGAGTGAATCCATTTCTTCTGCTATTTAACCTGTAACAGAGCACTAACATGACACTAAATACACAGTAATCAGTGGTTTAAAATACTAATTTTAAACAACTGCTGTTGTTATGGACAGACTCAAATTGAGAGACTCTCCAAATCACAATTTACCATGAAAATAGTAGTATTAGAAGACTATGTGTCTTGGAGTGATCAGATATTTTGTATAACAGATTCAGATCCTGAGACCTTTTTGACCCATTGTATTATAACAGCAACAGATTAGAGCTGGAGAATTCAAAAGTATGGTTGTGTCCTTGAACCTATACAAAATGTCTAGATTCAACATATTTCCAGAATGGACTGTCGAATTCTGGTGTAATCTAGCGCTTTTTGATTAAATTTCCTCTATTTCCTCCTTTGGATCTGTCTGAAACAGAAAAATAGCCTTTTAATGGGCTATTAGACTTTCTGGTCTTTAGAAATACTGAAATACGAAGTAATGCATAAGATCCGTGAAAAAACAATTTTACAGAACTCAGATTCAGCTCTAAAGTTCCACAGTTCTAAAAATGATCAGAGGTAGTTTTTTAAATTTGTTTTTAGTAAGGAAAACTAACAGGGAAAACCATTTTTTGGAAGCATGCTCTCCAATAACTAGTTTCCAAAGGACTCCCTCTTCAGCCTCTGAAGAATTTTGCATAATTATATATATATATATATCTGTAATATATATATACACATAATAACGCTCAATTATGAAAACCTCTTACTTCAAGCAAGCTGAATCCTCCAGTTTCTTTCCCTTTTTCAGTGTATTTGAACATTTGTGTTTCCTCTGTATCATTTTTGCTGTGTAAAGCCAATCCATGCAGGATTGCACAGGCAGTCTTATCAGCAGTGTGCATTTGTTTACGAGATCCTTCACTGGGTATAAATCCTAGAGCTGAACTTACCTTACTCCCAGCTTCTTTCCTCAAGTAATTTATATTCCTTCTATTAATCCTTGGGCCTACACAGTCTATGTGGCACCAGCCACCAGGCCTGTCAGGCTGATGGCACTAACAGGGCCTGACCAGCCCCACTTGGGCTCTCACCGCTCACAGCCCAGGGCACCATTTAAACTCGGCCCTGAGGCCCTTTTCCTCCCCAGGCTGTGCTGTACCTCTGCCTGCCTCTGGCCCTGCCTCCAGCAGAGTTGTTGAGTGGCCCAGCTCTGTCCCCAGGCTATCCTTGGACCCTTGGGCAAGGTGGGCTTTTGGCAAGAAAAGGAATATTTTGTGGTTCGGTCATTTTTTTTCCTTCAATGCTCCATTTTGCAGCTGGGGTTCCTCCACACTTCCTCTTAGCACAGAGTTAAGGATGCCTGTTAAAGTTGCTTAGAAAATAAAAGCTGAAACAAAATCCCAGCCTGGGAGGTCCCAGTTGCCCTTTGCACTGCTTACAGCACCCACAGTTCTCCCTGTCGTGGCACTGGCTCAGCTACACACAGACTGTGCCTGTACCCTGTGGAGCTCATCTGTGTTGGCTGTGGAAGAGGTGCCATGTGGGCCTCTTCCACATGGCCTGTGGACACCTCTCCCCCTGTACTCACCCCATCCTCTGGCAGCCTGAAATAGCTTTTTGGAAGGGGAGGGCATAGGCCTAGGAGCTTTGGGCAGAGGAAGGGATGAAACCTGTACCCTGGCACTTGGGACGAATGTGTTCTGGCTTCAGAGCAGCTAGGT